CGCTGGACTCCCATGTAGTCAACCATGGTTCAAGTCCTGGACCTGGTGGCTTAAACTCATGCTGGGTGCGAGTGTGTCTATGCCCAGGATATGCCCAGGATCCTGAGAGGAGAAGGGAGAAGGGGTGCGAAGTGGCCATCCCCCTGGGGAGGGGTGATTTCTCGCTGTCTCTTTGTCTTTCTCTGTCTTTGTGGCAAGTGCATGCGCCCTATAGCAAAAACCTCCAAAAAAATAAAGTAATGCAGGAATCTTAGCCTAATGGATTGCTTTTATTTTATTTTTTAATTTTTTTAAAGAATTAATTTATTGGAGGCCAGCAATTAGCGTAATGGCTATGTCGCTGGACTCCCATGTAGTCGACCACAGTTCATGTCCCGGACCCAGTGGCTTAAAACTCATGCCGGACGCGTGTGCGTGCGTGCCCAAGATCCTAAGAGGAGAACGGAGGAGAAGGGATTGCAGCGTGGCCATCCCCCCTGGGGGGTGATTTCTTGCTTTTTGTCTCTCTGTCTCTCTCTGTCTGTCTGGTGAATACACGTGCCCTATAGCAAAAACCTCTCCAAAAAAAAATTATTTTATTTAATTTGATTTATTCATTCATTTATTTTAATTTGACCAAAAAGAGAGAGAGAGAAAGCAAGCCTCCAGGTCTAGGACTTGAATTGTGGTCAGCCATGTGGGAGCGTCCTGCACCTTAACCACCATGTCACCTGCTGGTCCCCTGAATTGCATTTATTAATAAACACATTATTATAAAATTATAAATCTGCTGTTGATAACTTATTTGCAGTTTTGCAGGTGAGTCTTTCTTCATCTGTGCATAGAATTAAGAATCTTTTTACCTTATGTTTCAGTTATCAAATTCTGTATAACAAAGAGCCACAGAATTGAGGGGCTTATAGTAATAATTTATTATTTTTCTTATTTGATTCTTTGGTTTGACTAGGCTTAGCTGGTCCATTCACATAGTATTGGCTGGTGTCATTCATGCACCTAGGTTCAGTGACAGCTCAGTTAGGGTTGAACATCCAGAATGTCTCGGATGATTGGAGTGCTTAGGGATTGTCTGAGTCTTTCTCTCCCTTATGTCAATTGGATTTCTTAAGATGGTAACTCAAGACTCTTGATTGGCTATGTGGGAATACAGTGCCTTAACCACCATGCCACCTGCTGGCCCCTTGACCACAGTCTTAATCGTTGAAGCAAGCTATAGGCCAACTCTCAAGAAGAGATAGAGGTACTGCATCTCATATGGGCAAGAAGAGAAGCATACTAGTACAGGAATGGGGAGGAATTATTGACAGCCATTGTTGCAGGCAATCTACCATACTTAAAATTGCTCTTTTATCGTACAAAAATATTTCAAGTCCCTTATTTGAAATAACACAAAATAGTAATTATACATATCTTTCTTTTTGGATCTGATTTTGGGTAGTTTTTCTCTGATAAATTTCTTATATTAACGTAGTTATTTAAAATGACTGATTATCAGCAATTAGTAAACAATGTTTATATCTTTCCCCCTAGCATTGACTGTGCAGGTATTTTGAAACTCCGCAATTCAGATATAGAACTTCGAAAAGGAGAAACTGATATTGGCAGAAAGAATACTCGAGTACGGCTTGTTTTTCGTGTACACATCCCACAGTCCAATGGAAAAGTTCTTTCTCTCCAGATAGCTTCTATTCCTGTTGAGTGCTGTAAGTGAATTTGAAATGATGTTCTAAAATTTTGTTTATAATAGTTTGTGTTTTGTTTATAATATAACGTGAGCATCTAAAGTATAAACTGAGGGACAAATGTCATTAAATAGTAGTTAAGTGCTGTGACTATGCCTGCCTCTTCTCTCTCCTTCTCTCTTTGGCGAGTTCATGTACCCTTTGGCAATTAAAAAAAAAGTATTAACTGAGACTTGGAATTTTGTTACTGGTTTGATTTTTTCATATGGAAATGACCTAATATGCTTAGGTAGGAAAAGTACTGATCTTAGAATTAGAAAAGAGCGTCTCATTATAGGTTGACTCTAGGTAGCTATGTGACTGTACAGAAGCTCTCTTGACCAGTTTTCTTACCTGGATATGAGGAAGGTATCCTGGATGGCATCTGAGGACCAAATCATGAAGCTGTGATTCTGATGCTTTTAAGTGTCATTTGGCCATCTTTGTTTCATGAAGATGCCAGTCTTGATATTAGAAGATACCTACCTGTCTTGGGACTAGCAGTTGGTGTAATGACTATGTTGCTGGGCTCTCATATAGTCGACTGCGGTTCAAGTCCCGGACCCAGTAACTTAAACTCACACCAGGCGCTTGTGTGTGCGTGCCCAAGATTCTGAGAGGAGAATGGATGAGAAAGGATTGCAATGTGGCCATCCCCCTGGGGCGGGGGGGGGGGATTTCTTGCTTTCTGTCTCTGTGTCTCTCTTGGCGGGCACATGCGCTATAGCAAAAACCTCTCTAAAAAAAAAAAGAAAGAATATACCTGTCTCTGCAGGCTACCCCTCAGCTAAGTAAGACAGGGTTTGGGTAGTTTTGTTAACTATAAAATGATTTACATCAATAGATGGACGAAGTGAATTTTTTTAAGATTTTTAATTTAATTTATTATTAATCTTCAATTTTGACCAGAGAGTGACAGAGAGAAAGGTAGAGTAAGAAAGCAAACCACCAGGTCCAGGACTTGAATTATGGTTGGCCATGTGGGAGTCCAGCACCTTAGCCATCATACCACCTGCCAGCCTTGGGAAAAATGAATTTTTAAAAAATTATTTATTTAATTTTATTTGTTATTATTACTGAATTTTCTATAGGGTACCATGCATTCACCAGAGGAGGAGGAAGGGTGAGAAAGTGAGCCCTCAGGTTTGGGACTCTAACCCCAGTCTGTCACATAGGAGAGTCCAGCGCCCTAACCACCATGCCACTGACTGGCCCCAAGAAACTAAATGTCATTTTTCTTCCAATTTACAAGGAAAGATAAGAAAAAAGGCCCTAAAAGTTGAGAGCTACTCAAGCCCTTGAGAACTGTGAATCTTGGACTGGTTTAGCTGTATGACTGAAAGACTTACAATGTTCTGATTCCATGCTTTAATTTTGTATTGGAGAAAAAACAAGACGCAAGTATCTAAAGTCTTCACCTAAGGTTATTTGCTTGTTGGTGAAATTGGTAACTGAGCAGTGCCTAGAACACAGATTGTTTTAAAGACTCTTGAATATATTATACAATTTTATTTCTCTTAGTGTTTTCTTCTTGATTTGGGATTATATACACATGTATGTATATAATTATTTTTTCTTTTTTTTTTTTTTTTAATTTGACCATGGTACTAGGGCCAGCAGGCGGTATGGTGTAAGAGAAAGCGTAGTCATGCATTAGTTCTTTTTTCTCCATTTCTTCATCCCACCACAACTTTGAAGAAGGCATGCACAGCAGCAGGCATGGCTTTTTTTTTTTTTTTAAATGTTTTTCTTATTATTTTATTTTATTTTTTTCAGTTTTGGCATGTGTATTTGCGGGTGTAGGAGAAGAAAGAGAAAGAGAGAGAGATAGAGATAGAGAAAGCAATCCTCACCTCCCCGCCCCTGGGAAATGGTCACACCATAGTCTCGTCTCCTTCATTTTCTTCTCAAAATTTGGAGAACTCACACATATGTACCTGGTGTGTTTCTCAAGCCGACAAGTCCGTGACTTGAACCACAAAGTTAGCCATGTGGCATCAGTCAGCTCACGTAGTATATTTTTCAAGCCACAGAAGCCTGGATTTGAACTGTGATCAGCCATGAGGGATCTGGTTCCCACTGCACAGGGCTTGGGCTACTCTTACTTATTATACTATCATGGACATTTTTCTGTATCATTAAATATTCTTCAAAAATAGTATTTTTAACGTGCAGTTTTTAGTGTGGCTGTACTGACTCTGTTGACCATATTTTTGCCATCACTTTTAAGTATTTTGATGATCAGTTTCCATTAAAAATACTTAGAAACAGGGACTAGTAGTTGGCGTAATGGCTATATTGCTGAACTCTCTTGTAGTTTTCTGCGGTTTGAGTCCCGGACCCAGTGGCTTAAACTCACGCTGGGCACGTGTGCGTGCGTGCCCAAGATCCCAAGAGGAGAATGGAGGAGAAGGGATTGCAGCGTGGCCATCCCCCTGGAGGGTGATTTCTCGCTTTCTGTCTTTGTCTTTCCAGTGAGCACACGTGCTCTCTCAAAAGATTAAAAAAAAAAAAAAAAGATTATGTTCCAAATACCTGAGAAGGCACAAAAATGTGTATAATTACTATAGAAACATTACTACCTTAAAAAAATTCAGTATTGAAATTTGTACTTCATGTATGTTTCAGTTATTTATTTATTTAGAAAACTGTACAAAACAGAAGCCTGATGTTGCAGCCATGATCTAGGTATTTTTTTCTTCTTCCCTCTTTTTTTTTTTTTTAAAGTTTTTGCCATAGAGCATGTGCACTCACCAGAGAGAGAAGGAGGAGGGTTGTGAGAAATCATTTCCCATGGGGGATGGCCACACTACAGTCCTTTCTTTTCCATTCTCTTCCTGGTATTTCTTTTGGGCATGCATGCACACATACCTAGTGTGATTTTCTAGCCACAGGTTGGGGACTCCAGCCGTGGTCACCATGAGGGGGCCCACTGCTTTAATCAGCATACCTTCTGCTGGCCCGATCTAGGTGTTTTCTGCACTCACTAGAGAGACCGAAAGCAAGGAATCACTCCCCAGGGGGGATGGCCACGCCGCAATCCCTTCTCCTCCATTCTCCTCTCCGGATCTTGGGCACACATGCACATATGCCTGGTGTGAGTTTAAGCCACCGGGTCCAGGACTTGAACCGTGGTTGTCTACATGGGAGTCCAGTGACATAGCCATTACGCTAACTGCTGGTCCCTAGATGTTTTCTTGATAAAAAGGTTACTTGATGTTTATCCTATAGTAGTTCTTTTTAGAGAGTTGGGAAGTTTGGGCATGCATGCCCACACACTCCTAGTGTGTTGTCTTGTCTTTTCTTTCTTCCTTTTTTTTTTTTTTTTTTTTGCTGTAGGGTGTGTGTGCTCACCAGAGAGACAGAGACAAAAGCAAGAAATCACCCCTCATGGGGGATGCCCTACCGCAGTCCCTACTCCTTCATTCTTTTCTCAAGATTTTGGATACACTTGCACATGTACCTGGCATGAGTTTTAAGCTGCCAGGTCCAAGACTCAAAACATAGTTGCCTGTGGGAGTCCAGTGCCTTAACCACCCCACCACCTGCTGGCGCCACCTGGTGTGTTTTGCAAACCACCGAGTCCAGAACTTGAACTACTTGGTTGGCCATGTGGAATCAAACCACCTTAACCGCCATGTCACTTTTCGTCCCTAGCATATAGTAGTTCTTTAGAGACTTGTTTTTCTGAATTGTGAGTAATATTATTATAATCTTTGATATTATGTGCTTTTATAATTATGTATATTAATTATATATAGTTATATTAATTTTAAAAGGAGGTCATATTAAAGAAATATATTAAAGATTTAAGCTAAACAGTGAAAAGGTACTAGGTAATTATGTTGGATTTAATATAAAGTTGAAGACATTAATATTCTTTTTATTAGCAAGTTTCTTTATAGTCATAGTCTAAAAAAATAATTTTCAAATAACCTAAATCTTGGGAACCAGCAGTTAGCGTAATGGCTATGTCGCTGGACTCCCACGTAGTCGACCGTGGTTCGTGTCCCGGACCCGGTGGCTTAAAACTCACGCCGGGCGCGTGTGCGTGCGTGCCCAAGATCCCGAGAGGAGAATGGAGGAGAAGGGATTGCGGCGTGACCATCCCCCCTGGGGGGTGATTTCTCCTTTCTGTCTCTATGTCTCTCTCTGCCTGTCTGGCGAGCGCACGTGCCCTACAGTGAAAATCTCTCAAAAAAAAAAAAAAAAAAAAAAAAAACCAAATTTTTGGGGTGGGGGGGGGGTGGCATGGTGGTTTAGGTGCTGGACTCCCACATGGCTGACCATGGTTTGAGTCCTGGACCTGGCGGCTTGCTTTCTCACTCTCCTCGCACTCTCTCTGTCTCTCTCTGGTCAAACTGAAGAATAATAATAAATAAAATTCAATAAATCTTTAAAAAAATTACCTAAATCTTATATATCTATTTTGTTTTCTAAAAAACTTAGTTATTTTATTGGGTGTTGTTAGTATTGTTATCCTTGTTTTGAATTTTTAAAGTCCAAAGGAATTAATTCTGAAATTTACTTTTCATTATTTTCATTTTGTAAACTTGAGTTTGTCATTTATGTATTAAAGATACTAAACTAATACTTTGTTTTCTCAACTTTTTGAAAAAAACAGCCCAGCGGTCTGCTCAGGAACTTCCTCATATTGAGAAGTACAGCATCAACAGTTGTTCTGTAAATGGAGGTCATGAAATGATTGTGACTGGATCTAATTTTCTTCCAGAATCTAAAATAATTTTTCTTGAAAAAGGACAAGGTAAATAATGTATGAGTTGATTAACTTCAAACTAAGGGACAAAAGAATGAAATAAATTATTTAGATGTTTCAGTAATATTAAACACAAAATACAGTTTTTCTAAAGCTACAGGAATCACTTTTACACTAAATTTTATTATAAACCAAACATGTATTAAATAGTAATAGTACAGATGCTCACTAACTGTTAAATGGGTGAACAAAATGTGATATAGTTATACAGTAGAATATTATTCTGCTATAAATATGAAGAAGTACTGGTGTATGCTATCACATGAATAAACCTTGAAAATATGCTAAGTGAAAGAAACTAGCATAGAAGTTTCCATATTGCATGGTTCCATTTATATAAAATGTCTAGAATAAGCAAACATGGAGAAAGAAAGATTATGGTTGCCAGGGGCTAGAGCGAGGCATCAGTGGGGCATAACTACTAATGGGTGCAGGGTTTCTTTTTGGGGTGATAGAAATGTTCTGGGGTTAGTGGTGATGATTATACAATTGTTGTGAATATACTAAAAACCTTTTAGCTACATTCTTTAAAAAGGATTATAAGCCAGAGAGCATGTGAGCTTACCAGAGAAAGACAGAGGAAGAGAGAGAAAGTAGTAGGACATGGTTATGCCACAATCTCTTCTCTCTCCATTTTGGATTTTGGGCATGCACACATATGTGGTTGACATGTTTTTTAAGCCATAGAAGCCAGAATTTGAACTGTGTGGTCAGCTAATTAGGATCTGGCTCTATTAACCGCTAGGCCTTTAAGACCAGCCCTAAAAGTATCGGTTTTAGGGACCAGCAGATGGTGTAATGATTACAAGTCACTGGATGCCTACTAGTCAACCACAGTTTATGTCTCGAAGCTGGCAACTTAAACTCAAACTGGGCGTGTGTGCATGCATGCATTCCCAAGATCCCAAGATGAGAATGGAATAGAAGGGATTGTGGTGTAGCTCTCCCCACTAGGGAGTGATTTCTCGCTTTCTGTCTCCCCAGTAAGCACATAAGCCCTATAGCAAAAATCTCTCTCTAAAACAAAAAAGTGTAAGTTTTATAGTGTGCTAATTATATTTCTTTTTTTGTTTTGTTTTTCAGTTTATGCTACAAGGCATGTGTGCTCGCTGTAGAGAGAAAAAGAGAGAGAGAGTGAAAAATTACCCCTGAAAGGGTGGGCCATGCCACAGTCCCTTCTCCTTCATTCTCCTCCTCAGGATCTTGGGCATGCACGCACACGTCTCAAGCCACCAGGTCTGAGACTTGAACCATGCAGTGGGCCATGTGGGATCCAGCTACCTTAACCTCCATTCCATATGCTGGCCCAATATCTCAATTTAAAAAAAAAAAAAAAGAAATATGGGGGCCAACAGGTGGTGTGGTGGTGAGGGTGCAGGACTCCCCATATGGACAACCATGGTTCAAATTCTGGACCTGGTGGCTTGCTTTCCCCTTTTCCCTCTCTCTCTCTCCTGTCTCTCTCTCCTGTCTCTCTCTGATGACTATAGCAAGTTAAATAATAATAATAAATAAATACAATAAAACAACTCTTTAAAAAAAAAAGAAACAGAAGAACCCTCAGAGTGTTTGATTTTATCCCTTCCTTTTTAGATTTTTTTAATTGCCAAAGGATGTGTGCACATGGCAGAGAAAGACAGAAGGAGAGAGAGGGAAAGGGAAAAGCATCCCCCAATGGCATGTTATCACGCCACATAATCCCTTGTCCTTTATCTCTCCATCTTATCAGGATTGTGGGGACACATGTACAATTACCTGGCATACTTTTTAGGCTACCAGGGCTGGTATTCGAACCACATTGTTAGTCAAGTGGGATCTGGCGCCTTTTATCATTAGGCCACATGTGCTTGCTGGAGAGAAGGAGAAAGACAGAGAGACAGAAAGGGAGAAATCACCCCTGAGGAGGATGGCCACACTGCATTGCCTTCTCCTCTACTTTCTTCCTGGGATTCTAGGTGCACGTCTGATTTGAGTTTCCAGTGGCCAGATCTGGGACTTGAACCACAGTCAACCATGTGGAAGTCCAGCGCCTTAACCACTATGCCACTTGCTGGCCCCCCTTCTTGGTTTAACTGCTCTTTACAGAGTTCTTTGCTTCCTCATTTCATTCAGTCGTGTCTTCATTTTCTGTTTCACTGTCTTCTGTATTTTTCTTCTTTTCACTTATTTTGGTTTCTTAAGGTTTTATTTTCATTTAACTGCTTATCTCATTTGTTTTAATCCTTTTATCTCTTTAAATACTTAAATTTAGCCTGTACATTGTCCCCATCATAAGCCTATTGTAATTTCAATACCTTTTGCTACTAATTATGTTCAAATGCTCTCATCCTCAAGACTCTTTAAAAAAAAAGACAGTCCTTTGACTCTGTAATCTCTTTAAGCTGTTAGTCTATTTCTCTCTCATTTAGCATCTAACCTTCCAAAAAAGTAAGGGTCTCTATTTTTTTTACCTTTTTTTTTTTTTAAGAGATTTTTGCTATAGGGCACATGAACTTGCTGGAGAGACAGAGAGAGAGAAATCAAGAAATCACCCCCAGGGGGGATGGCCTCAGAGAAGTCCCTTCTCTATTCTTCTCTCAGGATCCTGGGTGCATGCACATACACGTGTCCATTGTGACTTTCAAGCCTCCAGGTCCGGGACTCAAACCGTGGTTGACTCTGTGGGAATCCAGCAACGTAACCATTTCATCATCTTTTGGTCCCTTTTTATTTTTTAAAGAGAGATTTTTGCTACAGAGTGCTTGCACTCCCTGGAAAGACAGAGACAGAAAGTAAGAAATCGCCCCGCAAGGGGATGGCCACTCTGCAATTCCTTCTCCATTCTCCTCTCAGGATCTTGGGCACATGCACACACAGGTGCCCAATGTGAGTTTAAGCCTCTGGGCCCAGGACTCAAACTGCAGTTGACAATGTGAGAGTCCAGTAACATAACCATTATGCCATCTGCTGGTCATTCCTGTTAATTTTTTATCCATTGTCTAACTCTGTTGGCATCATAGCCTCTTATAAATCCATTTGACAGCCAGCTACCCATTCTCCTTTCTTCTTTTTTTAATTGCCACAGGGTGCATGCAGTCTCGAGAGAGAGAGAGAAGGAGAGAGAGAACACACTCTACAATGGGATAACACCATAGTCCCTTCTCCATTTATCCATCGTGTTGGGATTTTGGATTTACATGCATGCACATGCTCCCAACATATCTTTCAAGCCTCTGGAGTGGGGATTCAAACCATAGCTGTCTTTGGGACCAGCAGTTAGCATAATGGCTTTGTCGCTGGACTCCCACGTAGTCGACCACGATTCGAGTTCCGGACCCGGTGGCTTAAACTCATGCCGGGCACGTGTGCGTGCGTGCCCAAGATCCCAAGAGGAGAATGGAGGAGAAGGGATTGCGGCATGGCCATCCCCCCTGGGGGGTGATTTCTCGCTTTCTATCTCTCTGTCTCTCTCTGTGTTTCTGGCGAGTGCACACACCCGTTAGCAAAAACCTCTCAAAAAAAAAAAAAAAAAAAAAAAACCATAGCTGTCCACACAGAATCCACTTCTTTAACCACAAGACTATGGAACTGGCCCTCATTTTCCTTCTTGACATCTTTTTTCTTTGGCTTTCTTGTGATTATACTTACCTAGTTCTTAGGCATCTTTATTCCTGTTAGTCTTTGTGTGTTTGTGTGTGTGTATCTTTATCTTTGTCTTTGTCTTTGTGCATATTTGTGTGGTGTTATAGACAGCATCTTACTATCTTGCAATACTGTCTCAGCCTCAGGAGTAGCTGATTCAAGAGGTGTGTGTCTGGCTTTTAAGGCGGGTGGGCCAGGAATTGACTCTGGGCCTCTTGCTGAGCAGCAACATCCAGTCCACAGTACTATGACTGGGCCCCCCATTCACCTCCCATCTTGCCTCCTATGGCTCATAAAGGTGTTTTCTAAGGTTTTTCTTTTTTGTTATAGTTCTCCTTTAATTAGCTTCCAAATCTTTCTTTTTTGGCCACGTCTTTTTTCCTCTTAAGCTTCTAGTTTAAAGTACCTGCTGGATATTGCTACATAAACATACCGCTGATACATAAAGTATAAATATTTTTAGATGAGCAAATAACATAATGGTTGAGTCGCTGGACTCCTATGTAGTTGACCACGGTTCAAGTCCCGGACCTGATGGCTTAAAACTCAAACTGAGCTTATGTGTGTGCATACCCAAAATCCCAAGAGGAGAATAGAGGAAAAGGGGTTGTGGTATGGCCATCCCCTAAGGAGATGATTTCTCGCTTTCTATCTCTGGCGAGCACATGGGACCTATTGCAAAAATTTCTCAAAATTTTTAAAAATATAAAATCAGGTTTTTAAAAATTTATTATAGTGTGTATGTGCATGCACCTCGCCTGTTATTTTGTATACCACCTACATAGCAGCTTTTAGTTCCCTAGCAAATGGGTTTTCTTACCATCTTGTCTATTTTTTTTTTTTTTAGAGAGGTTTTCGCTATAGGGCGCATGCGCTCGCCAGACAGACAGAGACAGAGAGACAGAACGGATACATAAAGTATAAATATTTTTAGATGAGCAAATAACATAATGGTTGAGTCGCTGGACTCCTATGTAGTTGACCACGGTTCAAGTCCCGGACCTGATGGCTTAAAACTCAAACTGAGCTTATGTGTGTGCATACCCAAAATCCCAAGAGGAGAATAGAGGAAAAGGGGTTGTGGTATGGCCATCCCCTAAGGAGATGATTTCTCGCTTTCTATCTCTGGCGAGCACATGGGACCTATTGCAAAAATTTCTCAAAATTTTTAAAAATATAAAATCAGGTTTTTAAAAATTTATTATAGTGTGTATGTGCATGCACCTCGCCTGTTATTTTGTATACCACCTACATACCACCGTTTAGTTCCCTAGCAAATGGGTTTTCTTACCATCTTGTCTATTTTTTTTTTTTTTTAGAGAGGTTTTCGCTATAGGGCGCATGCGCTCGCCAGACAGACAGAGACAGAGAGACAGAACGCAAGAAATCACCCCCCAGGGGGGATGGCCACGCCACAATCCCTTCTCCTCCATTCTCCTCTCGGGATCTTGGGCACGCACGCACACGCGCCCAGCGTGAGTTTTAAGCCACCGGGTCCGGGACGCGAACCGCGGTCGACTACGTGGGAGTCCAGCGACATAGCCATTACACTAACTGCTGTTTCCCTTACCATCTTGTCTTTGCTCACACTCTCTCTTCATGCTGACACTACCCTTCTCCCACATCGTGAATTCCACTTTGTACTTAGGTCTCCATTTAAGATGGGAGGCCTGCCTTGTCTCATTCCCCTATTCTAAAATTAGGTTAGAAATCCTGTCCTCTGTGTTCTTGGTTCATCCCCAGAGTGCATCTTTTATTAGTCATTGTACCCATCACAGTTTATTATAATGAACTGTTTGTGTTTGCTTTTCATTCACAGGGTGAAGGGAGGGTATCCTGTCTCAATTATCTCTGTAACCCAGAGTATTTGACACATAGGGATCCTGCTAATGATTACTTAACTGAGCAGTAATTCTAAGTAGATAGAGCCTGTGTCTGTTGTGTTGTATGGGTAGTTGTTACCTAGTTATTGGACTGGAAAATGACAGCCATAACTTGGAAGGCATTTGATGAAGTCTCTCCTGATACCTTCACAGACCAGATAAAAAAAAGTCATATGAATTGTGAAAATACTTTTAGACTTTAGTCACTGGATGAATACCCATGGCACAAAGTGAATGCTTTGGAATAGTTGTACACCAGTCTAGAGTGAAAACTTTAGTAGTAGTTGAGACTTTCTCCAAGCGGATAGTTCACTTGGGATGAAGAGACAGAAAATGTGCTAACCAAATCATCAGGTGACACAGATCTGGAAAGCCTAGCAATTTTCTTTTTTAAAGAGGTTTTTTGCCTTAGGGCATGTGTGCTCTGGGTGGGGCAGGGAAGACAGAGACAGAGGCAATAAGAGGGAAAGTGAGAGATAACCTCCCAAGGGGATGGCAGGGAAGACAGAGACAGAGGCAATAAGAGGGAAAGTGAGAGATAACCTCCCAAGGGGATGGCAGGGAAGACAGAGACAGAGGCAATAAGAGGGAAAGTGAGAGATAACCTCCCAAGGGGATGGCCACGTCGCAATCTGTTCTCCATTTTCCTCCTGGGATCTTGGGCATGCATGCACATGCGTCCGGTGTGAGTTTCAAGCTACCATGTCTGGGACTCAAATTAGCCATGTAGGAGTCCAGCAACATAGTCATTATGCCATCTGCTGGCCTCAAGCCTAGCAAATATTTTACAAGACCATCATTGTCTAAAAAGAGCTTGGCAAGTCAAGTGATTCAGTAAAATGAAGTCTCCCTACAGGATAAATTAACATGGCAAGATTCGGGGGGAGGGGAGGGAAGCAACCCCAGCTACATGGGTGTGCAGTGTGGGAACTTGGTGGTAGAGATGTGACAGTCTGAGGGACACTTTTGGGCACACCGTGTGAATCAGTTTGGTGCTTCTGCCCGGCTGTCATTAACAAAAGCATCTTCACACAGCCTCAATTACCTACTACTGAGCTTGGTCACTTTTCACCTGGGCTGTTCAGTCCTGGGCCTGTTTCTTTTGGAAGAAGATGATCATATAGGAGGAGCATGTTCAGAGAAAAGCATTCAGAGAAGAGTGACCGGAAAGGCTCAATATTGTACAATAGGTATAGAACAGCCACGAGCAGAACAGAGACAGGCAAATATTCAAGCGTCTGAACTATTAGCTCATAGGGAAGCACTAAAGTTTGTTTTGTTTTGTTTTAGTAGTTGCAGGTAATAGTACTTAGACTAGTGTTTGGATCACAGAAAGACAGATTTTTGTCTATCATGAGGAACTTTCTAGCAGCAGTTACCTTCCAGAGATGTAATGGATTACTTGGTGAGGGAGTGGTGTCCCATCACTTGAAGTGCACAAGCAGAAGTTGGCTATCACTTGGTAGGGATGCTTTCAAACATCACTTGGGTAGAAGGGTAGAATGAACTCTGTGGGGCCTGCTAACCTAGGCAGCCCAGAATCTTTCTTATTCATGGGTATGTATTTTATTTTCATAATCGAAGTCAGTGACAAAGATTATCTTTTCCAATAAATGTGATACTACTACATGCATTAGTTTTGTTTGTATGCTTTCTCACTTCAGTTGCTTTTAACTGTGAATTGTTTCTTTCAATAGATGGACGACCTCAGTGGGAGGTAGAAGGAAAAATAATCAGGGAAAAATGTCAAGGGGTAAGAATTTACCTTAATTCTTAAGAAATATTTTAAAAGTTTATTAAGAAAATTGGATAATGCTGCTTTATAATATAGATGAGGAGTCTTATATAGTAATAGAAAACTAAATTAGAGGCTGCAATGACACACACTTCTAAGAAGCTGTGCATTGTAAGCTAGGTCTACATGTGGGGCCTGGTTTGGATTTTCAGTTCAACATAAAGGCTGGGCCTAGAGCTGCATGTGGGAATCCAGCGTCTTAACTACTACGCCACCTGCTGGCTCCTCAGCTATTTTATTAGGCCTTTCAGGATTCCATACCAAAGTGGTTCCTTTATCCTGTTTATAATGGAAACAGAATCTTTTCTAGGATAGTGAATACCACTTACCACAGTACTTTTGAAAGATCTGGAACAATTAGGTAGAATTTAGTTTGAGGCTGAGGATTTTCATTGTTCTTGTGTAAAATTGTTTTGATATGGATTTAGATTTTTATATACTGCCAACTTAGAACATTTTGAAAATAAAATTTACGAAATCTGTAATGCAACTTGGGAAATACTAAACATGATTAAAAATCAGAATGAACTTTCTGTTCAGATATATAGTAGCATGCAATATTCTGTAGACTGAATATCTCATTACATAGTATGTAAGACTTTTTATTTCTGTTGCAACTGGAAACTCAACTTGGTAGGTAAAGAGCAGTTATTCCTATCTGTGTCAAGATTGAAGTATCCATATAGTAAATCTCCAGATGACTTATGTGACTAGTTGATAAGGCATAGCTATTTATGAAGGGAAGGCTTTGTAGTTAATACTTACGAGTTGCACTGAATTTAGCAGGTGCGTTTCATTTTTAGTTCTGAGTGTAACACAATCTTTCTTCCTGTGCTCCTTAGGCTCACATTGTCCTTGAAGTTCCTCCATATCATAACCCAGCAGTTACAGCTGCAGTGCAGGTGCACTTTTATCTTTGCAATGGCAAGAGGAAAAAAAGCCAGTCTCAACGTTTTACTTATACACCAGGTATGAGGAGCTGTTGTGATGGTTTATTATAGAACTTTATGAATAAAAGGTTACTTAGTGAATCCTGTATTAGAATATTTAAAGTAGGATACTTATAATAAAATTAAAAATACCATCTTATGCCTAACCTAAAATTTTACTTTAATGTTACAATGTTATTTTGTAGTAAGTTATACTGCCTCTTTTCTATAGTTTAAGAGCTGTAACTTTCTAGTTCTAGAATGCAGTATAATCAATATTATATGTGATAATTCATGTTGAAGGTTAAATACTTAGAGAATAAATATTTATTTATTTACTTGGAGAGGTTTTTGCTATAGGGTGTGTGCACTCGCCAGAAAGACAGACAGAGACAGAGACAGAAAGCGAGAAATCACCCCCCACGGGGGATGGCCACACTGCAGTCCCTTCTCCTCCTTTCTCCTCTCGGGATCTTGGGCGCACATGTGCCTGGCGTGAGTTTAAGCCACCAGGTCTAAGACTTGAACTGCGGTTGATTACGTGGGAGTCCAAACGACATAGCCATTATGCCAACTGCTGGTCCCAATATTTATTTATTTTTGAGTTAGCTTATTTCTTCCATAAGCCAGAGAGAGAAAGAAAGTGAGAGGGTGTGGTACATGTATGTCCCCAACAGGGTCTTGACATTGCGATCCACTCCCTGCCTTCAGCCCACCCTAGATCATTGGCAAATGTGTGCCCAGTGTACTCAAAGAAGTCTGTGGATTAGAACCAGGAAGCTTCTTTTTTAAAATTAGTTATTTAATTTTTTTAAATTATTTTTTAACTTGACCAGAGAGAAAGAGAGAGGGAAAGTGAGAAAGTAAACCACCAGGTGTGGGACTCGAAGCACAGTAGACCATGTAGAATCCAGTGCCCCAACCACCACACCACCTGCCAGTCCCACCAGGAACCTTCTTATGTGGAATTGCTTCACAGAGCATCATGTTTTAACAGTGTGCCACCATCTGGTTCCTTAGAGAACAAATTTTGTAGGAATCTTTTTTGTGCTAGTCATAGAAAAATCAGAGTGAATGCTACTCTCTAAGACTTGCAAAAACTTATTTTTTCCCCCTCAATATTCCTCTATTCATAATACAGCACATTGAGGCACACATGAGAGTAAGAGAGAGGGCGATATGTATCCTCTACAGAGTCTGGTTACACCGCAGTCCCCTTCCTCCCGTCCTCCAGTCTGTTGGATTCTGGGCACTGATGGGTATGCCTAGCTGGAGATTCAAACTGCATTCACCATGTGGGAACTGGCTTCTCTTGAGTAGCGCATTACTGTTGCACCATGGATCCAGACCACAAAAACTTTTAAATATTGGGTTGTTGGGAAAGTCATCATGCATTTTTGCATAGAAAAACAGAAAAATCCATCATGACTTTCTCGACAACCTAATAGTTTATAGTAAATGAAAAGAACAAATGCTATATTCTAGATGATGTTAGATATTAACAGTTATTTATTTGCCCCACATATCTTTTAAAGCTTGGTTATATTTCATTTATAGGCTCTAAAGGCTACTTAAATTCCTAAATTTGAAAATCATTATACTTGACATTATTATAGTACTGGATAGTAAAATAACTCAGATCCCTTATAAATAGAATATAAACCTTTTGAAAACTAAAAATTTTGGTTCACTGTTGCACTCATTTATTAATTGAATAAGTATTTGAGGTACCTGCTAGGTGGCAAAACCTATTTCATTCTCTTCTCATGTGGAACTTACAGTCTAGTGAAACACATAGAAGTTAGTAAGTCACTAAATATATAAATTACTAACTATGCCAGAAGACCCTTGTCTAGGTTAGCATGTTGAAAAATGCTTCCAGAAAGAAAGGATTCTTGAATGATAACCAGAAAATAATAGTAATTGTTTATAGTTCTCTGGCATTAACTATGTTATTAGTATTCTTGTAAGCCCTCTCTGTATTAGCCATATTAACTTATTTAATCCATGGGTAATGATAAACCTGTGAGATAGGTGGTGGTTACCTTGCTTCACAGATGAGGAAAATAAGTGATTAAATAATGTGCCCAAGGCCTCATAGTAGGTCAGTCTTGAAGCTAAACCTCACACTCAGAATCTAGGCTCCTAATATGCTAAAATGCATCTCAGCTTTGTTTATTTAGCAAACAATTTAGAGCATTTAATGTGTGCCAGATGCTCTTCTAAGCAGATTACACATAACCTATTCATTCTCCTGTTACTCTATAATGCTATCATGATTTTACATATGAATGAACTGAGGTCCTTAGGTAAAGTTGGAAGAGGTGAGATGAATCCAGGCAGTCTGACTTTATAGTCTATACTATTAGTTACTGTTAGATAAAATGAGAGAAAAACAATCCAGATAAAAGACAGCAGCATATGGGGCCAGCAGGTGGTGTGGTGGTTAAGGGTGCTGGACTCCTGCATGGACAACTGCAGTTCAAGTCCCGGACTTGGCGGCTTGCTTTCTCACTTTCCTTCTCACTTCCTCGCTCTCCTTCTATCCCTCTCTGGTCAAATCAAAATAAGTAAATAAGTAAATAAAACTAAATTTAAAAATTCTTAAAAAAAGATAGCAATGTATGCAAGGACTTGTGGATGGTAGGATCAAGGAGTATTTAAAAGAAATGTAAGGGCCCCAGGTGGCGTGGTGTTTAAAGTGCTGGACTCCCATATGGGTGACTGTGGTTCAAGTCCCAGACCTGGCAGCTTGATAAATCATACAAGGTGCATGTGCGTGCCTGTCCAAAATGTGTGGTTTTCACACACATTTCACACACATTCCAGTGCCTTAACCACTATGGCACCTGCTGGCTGCTGGCCCCCACACTTAGATTATTTTACATGAACTGCCTTCCCTGAAGTATCTGAGTTTGCTACCCATAGTATGGATGATTGCTACAGTTGTATACCCTAGAATGGAGGCCTGTCATAATTGTCTTATGTATTAGATAATGATATTTGCTTTAATACTTTTTTTTTTTTTTTAGTTTTGATGAAGCAAGAACACAAAGAGATTGATTTGTCTTCAGTTCCATCTTTGCCTGTGCCTCATCCTTCCCAGACCCAGAGGCCTTCTTCAGATTCAGGGCACCCACATGACAATGTACTGTCAGCACAGAGAAGCTTGGTTTGTCCCATCCAGCAAACATATGCAACCATGGTAACCTCATCCCATCTGCCACAGTTGCAGTGTAGGGATGAAAGTGCAAGTAAAGAACAGCATATGATACCTTCTTCAGTTGTGCACCAGCCTTTTCAAGTGACACCGACACCTCCTGTGGGATCTTCCTATCAGCCTATGCAAACTAATTTTGTGTACAACGGACCAACTTGTCTTCCTATTAATGCTGCCTCTAGTCATGAATTTGATTCAGTTTTGTTTCAGAAAGCAACTCTTCCTACTTTAGTAAATCTTAGCTGTCAACCACTGTCCTCCATACAATTTCATTCTTCAAATTCAGGCTCAACAGGACATCTCTTAGCACATACACCTCATTCTGTGCAAACCCCATCTCACCTTCAGTCAGTGGGATACCGTTGTTCAAACACAGGACAAAGATCTCTTTCTTCTCCAGTGGCTGACCAAGTCACAGGTCAGCCTTCTCAGTTACACCCTATCACATTTGGTCCTTCACATTCAGGGTCTGCTACCACAGCTTCCCCAGCAACCTCTTGTCCCATAGCTAGTTCACCACTTTCTGGACCACCATCTCCTCAGCTGCAGCCTATGCCTTACCAGTCTCCTAGCTCAGGAACTGCCTCATCACCATCTTCAGCCACCAGAATGCATTCTGGACAGCATTCAACTCAAGCACAAAGTACAGGCCAGGAAGGTCTTTCTGCACCATCATCCTTAATATGTCACAGTTTGTGTGATCGAGCTTCGTTTCCACCTGATGGGGCAACTGTGACTATTAAACCTGAACCTGAAGATCAGGAACCGAATTTTGCCACCATTGGTCTACAGGACATCACTTTAGATGATGGTAAGTTCATCTTTGTGTTTTGAAGCGAAGATTCAGGAACTTTCTTTTTTTTGAGAGAGAGAGATATTTTTGCTTTAGGGTGTGTATGCTCACCAGAAAGAGTCAGAGAGACAGAAAATGAGAAATCACCCCTCAATCATCCCCCAGGGGAGATGGCCACACTGCAATCTCTTCTCCTCCATTCTCCTCTCCAGAATTTGGGCATGCACACACACATGCCTGGCATGAGTTTTAAACTACTGGGTCCAAGACTTGAACTGCATTTGACTACATTGGAGTCCAGCAACATAACCATTACTCCATTGCTGGTCCCGAAGATTCAGGGTTGCTTATTGACGTATGATTGGGCTTTTAAATGAGTTAACTGTTTTTAGAAATATATATTAATACGTAACTCTAAAAATCCATGTTTTAAAGTCTGTTTTACCACTCATAACTTTTGCTGAATAGGACACCTTTTCTTCCAAAATATATAGTGAGATCACAGTGTCTAGTGAATGGAATTCATAAACATTCCTTCAATAAACATTGCTGAATGCCATCCATTTGCAAGGCATGGGGCTAGATGCTGGGAATACTAAGGATGTATTATGATAGAGTTCCTCTCCTTGAGGAGATGCACACAAATAAAGAAACTACTCCTCTGGGGCTCTACCAGCTCGCTGAGTCAGGTAGTGGTGATGGTACAAGATGAGACTGGTTTGCTGCTACTGCTACAGCTGTTGGCATAATGAGTTTAAAAATGCACTATTAAAAAAAAAAAAAAAGCACTATTTATATAAATGTAACAAGTTGATATGTGGATTTCTGCTCTATGTAATCAATATATTGGAGAACTCAGGAATATTAGTCATCTCAGTAATCGAAAATTCCTCAACATTGGATATTCAGGTAACAATTTTAGAGTTTGTAATGGGCTTTATCATTTATATGGTAGTGAAATTTTGTCTAACTAGGAAATCGAGTGAAAGCTACCTGTAACTACTATCTGGTATGAAAATCTGAAGATCCTGAAACATAGGTATAGAATTTTAGTTCTCTTTCTAATTACTTATTAATCTACTATAGGAAAATAATCATAGATTAAATACCCATTTTGCAGATCTGGAGAAGCTGAGTTCCCTGCTTAGTTGCGAAGCTACTTTTAAATCCCAAATACAAGGGCTAAGGGAGGTAAATGAGTTGTGTTACCCTGTCTTCTAGGTCTTTCCTGTCAGATCAATACATGAAGACTGACGACACAATGCAGTGGGTCTGAGTCGTAATAGCCATAGTGTAAGAGAAGCATTTTAGGAGATCAACAGAGATATACAACCAGGTTTCATAAAAAGGATACATAAAGGCTTCTGTGAGGTGACATTTGAACCAGGTCTTAGAGGATGAGTGCTGTATGTGTTTTCAGTAAATGAGGAACAGAGGTTAAGTCAGATAGTATGATCAGAAGCATAGTGATGTGTCTAGGGAACCATGTTTATCTGTGGCTGGGGTCAGGTGAGTGAATGGTACAGTAGATGATGATTTTCAAAGCCATATGGTGACACGCCAGGTCATTTGTGTGTAAATAGATTTTATATGTGGAAACTGGAACACCACCTAACATTTGCATAGCATTTTCACATTTATTGTCCAATCCAGTTTGTGCTTTTCCTCCATCTCTTAGGTGGATGGTGACATTTACAGAGTTGGACTTCTTTTTTTCTTTTTTTTTTTTTTAAGCTTAGTGTACACGTGTGCTTTTCAGAGAGAGACAGAGAGAGGGAAAGTGAGAAAGCATCCCCCAAAGAGGGAGACAAAGAGAGAGAGAAAGTAAAATTGCACCCCCTCCGGGGGATTGGCCATGCAACAATCATTTCTCCAGTCTCCTCTCAGGCTTTTGTGCACACATATGCATGTACCCAGTATGTTTTTCAAAGAGCTGGGTCTGGGTCTCAAACCTCACAGCTGGCCATGTGGGATCCAGCCACCAATAATCACACCACTGGCTGGTCCCAGAGTTGGACTTTTTCTTTTGGTCACATTGCTAGTAAAGATCAGGGCTTAGACTAGATTCAGATTTTTCCAGTCTTTCTTGAGGCATTATAGCTGCCTCCCAGTAATAGCAACACTCTGCTAATAAACCTTGACTCCCTCAAGGTTTTTTTGTTTTGTTTTGTTTTGTTTTTTAATTTATTTAATTTTATTCATTCATTTTAGTTTGATCAGAGAGAGAGAGGGAAAGTGAGAAAGCAAGCCACCAGACCCGGGACTCAAACCATGGTCGGCCGTGTGGGAGTGTCCAGCACCCTCACCATCATGTTACTCGCTGGTCCCCCTAAAGGTTTTTCCTACTTCCTAGAAAATAGTGGAATACTCTCCAGGAATGTATATGCAGAATACCACTATATGAACATGTGTTCACAGCTACAACTGATCTTCTACACTGACACCGGTAGTACTTGAGAGATATATCAAGCACCTTACTGTGTGCTCTTTATACACAGCTGATTATCAGTCCCATTGGCTACTTAATGATGAAACCAGGAGGTAGAAAGGTGGCTACTGCTTTTATGCAAAATACATTTGAAATCATTAGAGACTTTTCCATGTGTACATAGGATATTAAATTACTCTCTATGTGTGTGTGTGTGTATTTTTAATGTCCCTCTTTATGGTAGTTTTAGACTATTCACAGCTCTTTTCACCTTGAAACAGTAATAATCTGTCACCCAGGGCCAACCTGTGGTGTGGTAGATAAGGCTGCTGGATCCCACATGGCCAACGGCATGGTTTAAGTGCCAGACCCGGTCTCTGGAAAACTCATCAGGTGTGTGTGCATGAGTGCCAAAAATCCCTAGAGGGGAATGGAGGAGAAGGGACTGTAGTATGGCCATGCTCCCTCAGAACTGCTTTCTCACTTCTCTCTCTCTCCAGGGAGCACACACCCCCTATAGCAAATTAAAAATGATAATTGTCACTTGTTTGTGATGTAACTGAAAATAAAAGATTTATTGAGCAAGTCTCTAAGGGTATTTTAGCTCATTTTGCTTACAAATGAAGACAATTTCTTTCTTCTGAAAAGAAACCAAAGCTGGGAACCAGCAGTTAGCGTAATGGCTATGTCACTGGACTCCCACGTAGTCGACCGCGGTTCGTGTCCCGGACCCGGTGGCTTAAAACTCACGCCGGGCGCGTGTGCGTGCGTGCCCAAGATCCTGAGAGGAGAATGGAGGAGAAGGGATTGCAGCGTGACCATCCCCCCTGGGGGGTGATTTCTCGCTTTCTGTCTCTATGTCTCTCTCTGTCTGGCTGGCGAGCGCACGCGCCCTACAGTGAAAATCTCTCCAAAAAAAAAAGAAACCAAAGCTACAGTCTGCTCCTATTTGTTTCCCACAGATTGATATTTGAAGGCTAGGGGGAAGGGAACAACAAATTGGGATTTCTAGAAAGATTTTAGGAAAATTAATTTATTTCACCTTATGACTGTGTGAAAATATATTGCACAAACAGATGATCTGAAGAAATAAGGTCTTTGAGGACAGGTAAAAAAACAACAATGTCAAGGACCAGCAGGTGGCATGGTGGTTAGGGGTGCCGGACTCCCACATGGCCAAACCCTGGTTCGAATCCCAGACCTGGTGGCTTGCTTTCTCACTTTCCTCTCTCTCATTCTATCCCTCTCTGGTCAAATTAAATAAATAAATAAAGCTAAATAAAATAATTTTTTAAAAATTAGAAAAACCCAACAATGTCAATGTCATTTTTGTTCTATTAATTATGTAGTGTGCACAGTCAAAAAAAGTTCCCAAATTATAACCCTATGGAAGATAGACTGGCTATTTAACTATGTCATTGCCACTCACCAGGGTACTTGATAGAAGCTCAATTATGCTAAGCAATAAAGAACGAAGCTAAAATCCACTCCTGAGCACCTCAGATAACTGAGTGTATAATTTTTACAAACTACAATTTTGATGCTTGAGCTCTAAAATGAATTTTTTATCTTAGCCAATCAACTTACTGATTATGGTATTTGGATTTTCATTTGAAGGTAAAATTACTAGATGCTTAAAAAATCCTGAAGCTTTGCAAAGTTTTCGTGTATATTCATAAAATGCAGATTTTAAAACCCACATATTTCATAGGCTTTGATCCTTAGCACTTGAATGTCCCCTTTCTGGGTATCATTTTTCTTTTTTAAATAAATTCAGTGACATTTAACAGCAAAGATAACTGTATGCCTCAGCTCAGAAATTTAAGAATTATAGAGCTGGAAATACTCGAATATGGCATCCTCATTTTATGGATAAAGTTTTTTTTGTTTGTTTGTTTTTTGTTTGTTGTTTTTGTTTTTGTTTTTTTTCTATAAGGGTACATGCACTTGCCAGAGAGAAACAAAGAGAGGACCAAAGTGAGAAATCGCCTTCTCGGGGAATGGCAACACCACAATCTCTCTAGTCGACTCTTGGGAATTTGGGCATGCAAGCAAATGTACCTGGCATGATTTTCTTTTCTTTTTTGAGAGATTTTTCTTTTTGGAGAGGTTTTTGCTACAAGGCACGTGCACTTGCCAGAGAGACAGAGAGAGACAAAGCGAGAAATCACCCCCTAGGGGGATGGCCATGCCGCAATCTCTTCTTCTCCATTCTCCTTTTGGGATCTTGGGCATGCATGTACACGCGCCTGTCGTGAGTATAAGCCACTGGGTCCGGGACTCGAACTGTGGTCGACTACATGGGATTCCAGCCGTGGTCGACTACGTGGGAGTCCAGCAAGATAGCCATTACGCTAACTGCTGGTCCCGTTTCTGGTATTCTTAATGAGATTATATTCTTGTGTTTCTCTAGTTTCTTTGGAACATCTCAGGGCCTATTGAGTTCCAGCTGCCCTTCTAATTTTAAGTGAGCTCGGATACCTCTGGAATCATGCAGAACAAATTTAATCCTTTTTCTATAATATTCTTTCACATCGGTGGAACCTTGATCTCAAGTCCTAGACCTGGCGGCTTCCTTTCTCACTTTCCA